AAATCAGGGCTTCAACGGGATTCGAACCCATGACCTCCGCGTTACCGGTGCGCTGCTCTACCAACTGAGCTATGAAGCCACACATTGGGAGCGAGGTCAATTTACTGCGATGATCATTCTTCACTTTCATCTACAACCACAGTTCAAAAATGAATTATTTCATATATACATCATTTCACTCCTCACGGGAGATATGAACTCAGTAAATTGACCTCGCTCCCAATGTGTGGCTTCATAGCTCAGTTGGTAGAGCAACGCACCGGTAACGCGGAGGTCATGGGTTCGAATCCCGTTGAAGCCCTGATTTTTTTTTTCAGGCTTCTTCTTTCCAATTGCTTAAATTGGAAAATTTACTGCGATGATCATTCTTCACTTTCATCTACAACTGCAGTTCAAAAATGAATTATTTCATGTATACATCATTATTGTGATTGTTCGCCACACAATTAACATTCCTAAAATATTTTATGTGAATTAAGTCAATTTCAAATCATAATCGTTTGCATTCGAATATAAACGACGTGGCGCATCAAGCGACTATTTGAAGTCATTCCCTAAAGAAAAGTGTTCTCTGATGGAAATATCTCATACGTCCCTGGCTGTTTAAGCACATTCATTTTCGTAGGTAAAAGGGATGTTTTCCATGTTTTCCTTGAAAACAAATTAAGGTTGAAAGTAATCAGTGAAACGATTTCAGTCCCCGGCAAAGCCTTGAATAAGGCCTTTGCTTATTATCATCAAAAAAGGCCGATAAACAGAAAGTTGTTGATTTTTCAGGTACCAAGGATTCTACGTAGTATCTTATTTTGTTCCTTTTCGAATAAATTTACGTGTTATTGCTGTTTCCTCAACTAAACTGATACTGTAAAATGTAAGCATGCTATTTAAGGAATATTATGTCCCCGTCCATCCGTACCCAGAAATATATTTTTTAAAACAGAGGTTTTTTTTTCTCCGAGTTTCATTGTCTTCCCAGTGTCTTCCGTCCACACGGCGTTTTCGGGAACCAAAACCTAACGGTTTCAAAATCGGGAGATTTATGATAACGCTTTCTTCTCACTTGTGTGTGGACGGGCGAAAACGGAGGTTTTTGAACAAGGCGATGGCATTGGGTATGCTCTCGAAGGGATGCTAGCCTTTTCATTTGTGGTCTATTTACAGCGATCCAGCCCACTCTCCCATAGTATATAACGGTTGAGAAAAACTGGCGGCTTCTTCCAGATGAATTTACGATACATACCCGAGATAGATTTGGGTGGGGCGGGAAGAGAAATAAAATATGTATCATACGAAAGAGGAGCCATGGAGTGGAGAGCGGGAAAGGCAAGGTGAAAAGTCATAATAATAACCTCTGCGTCTTTTCTGGAGAATAATAATTAATTCATGGTGCATGTGCCTTATATAGTCTACCGGGCAATACAGCGGAAACTAGCCAGACAGACGAAAACAATTCAAATACGCTATTTGGGGGCGCGTAGTTTGTTCTTGAAAACGGAGAAAATCTCCTGTTTAAAAAAAAATGTTTGGATACATGTGGACAAGGTTTAATTTAGCTTTAGTGGTAGTGGTTGTGTTTAAATAAGTCAAAGAGATTTCGTTTCAAATTGACTTTCATTCCTCGTCCTCATTAAAGTGAGGAGAGTATTTCTGTCTGATTTCGGGCGTATCCCGGCTCCAGGCCATTGCAGTGTCCAAAACAGTAGGGGGCTTGCCGTCTTGGTCGGTACAGCTGGATAGCCCAGGGACTGCCCTAACAGTGGGTGAGTGGATCAGGCCTGGCGGAAAAAACTAGTGGGGTAGCGAGGGGGCTATTATAACACAACCCCTGGCAAGTACCTTGTTCTTAATTTGGCCTAGCCAGCTGAATCAGACCTCTGCTGAGAATGATTATCATGATAATTGCAGAGATTAGTGGGAGGCGCAGACAGTCACCCATTGTCCTGGGTGGGGGGTGAAAGTCCTACTAAGGAAACACTTAGCATAGGACCTGTAGACACTCACTGAAGCCATGTTTACATATTTTAAATTCAGTCTGATTTATATCACGTCAATCTTCCTTACTTTATTTTGCAGAGTACTCCAACTATATAAGCCAACAAAAGAACGAGATAAATAAGAAACAGGAAGGAGCCAGGAAATTACTCGTTGAATTCGCAAGAGAAATTGAAGCCAGTTGCCAAGGTAACAAGAGGAGAATCCTGAGAAAACCAGAACGTCAGCGCGCGCGAGCACGTCGACCTCTTGATGTACTGGATTGTTGTTGTAACGGACATTCGCTAATACTTGAGGTCTCCAAGGATGGGAAAAGGACTAAAATAAGTAAAAAAGCTAAAGACGTTTGAGCTAAATCGATCTCCTTAAAAAGAGAAAAATACTTTCTGAGCACAATGGGGTCGGTGTTATGGGGAGCATGAACTGGAAAACTACAAAAAAAGCTTTGATATGATTTGATTATCATGATTCAAAATTGTGTAGTGTTATATAGACAACCGATTTGTTTCATTCGCGAATGAGCCAGTTTTAGATGCGGCTACTAATACTAGCCAGTTCAGAAGAACAAAATTCCAAAGAAGCAATTTGCATGATTAGCCTTATTATCCTCTACCCTAACCGTGCTCCGCGGTACCTGGTAATTGTACTTGACAGGCCCCGTTTATATGAAGCCGACCGTTGTCCGGGAAGGAATACATTGACTCGCATTAGCATAAAAAGGCCAATTTATAACATTAACATTTCATTTCTTCTTCGCAACATAGAATTTACATGCAACTTTGATGTATCAAAGTGCGGTTTCAAGCAACCGAAAGATGACAAGTTCGACTGGACCCGATACAGGCGAAACACAAGTTCTTCCGGTAAAGGACCTTTCTCTGATCACACCACTGGAAACATGACAGGTGAACTCTAAACTAATAACAACAAGCCAGACCTGCTATTAGCAAAAACAGTTAAAATGTATTAACTCACTAACTGTAATTTGCATAAAGCCTAGGCCCCAAACGTCGCTTTTATTTTTCTTGAGACGAGTCAAAGTTAGTGAGTTAAGTTCATGAAAAGTTCGAATTCTGACTCAGTTACGTTCGTCGGAATGAGTTTGGATCGTCCAACACGTTCTGTGCGACTGCTT